TACACCTTTTTATAAATGTCTTATTTCCAAAATTAAACCAATCGTCTACAAAATGAAAAATCTAAAGATTATGAAATTTTATCCTTTTTGTTCGCGAACAAAATCGTTCAAAAACTCAAAATCCATTTCATTGTATAGTAGAAATATTTAAAGTTTTAGCAAATTTGCATTGAGTTTAACTTAATAAAAAAATTAATATTGACTATTACAAATTTCTAATATTTTTTCGTTTGTACATGTAACTCCTAATTAATAAAAGAACTCAAGGTTCGGAGTGTTTGTAGGAATTCGTTTGTATAAAAAGGATCACGAAAGTATTGTGAAATATGTAGATATAGATGTGGAAACATTCGGCTCTGTTTACCCAGTCTGTTCACGTCGCTGAATGAAAAGCAATATTGTTTAGATCATTTTTATTGGCTGAGGCATTTATTGTACATTTATATTACTGTAGTATAACATAGGTCTGAAGAGAGAAACCCCATACTCTTAGAGCCGACTTTGCAGCCTCTATCAGTCCTCGTTTCAACTATCGTTCACACATTTAATATATATATTTATATATAATACAGTACAGTTTTTATGTAATGTAAGAGCTATATAGTAAAATATATCATTTATAATAATCGATTACAAGGCGACCACAAGACCAATACCGACGTCTTTTGAAGGCTAACTGAGTTGATCTATATTAACAATCTAGTTACAAAAATAGTTAGGCCGGCTCATGACTGTTTTTTTTTCTTATGAACTGAGTTCGACCCTGCAGTCGCCCTTATCATTATCGTGAAGGGAGAATTAGCAGGAAGGGAGCATCATAGGGAATCATCGACATCCTGGACTTCACAGGTGAAAGATAGAGGACGTTGATAAGAGTTTAGATGAAGGACGGGACATGGATCGACATAGTGCCTACCCTAAGGTGCGAGGGGTGTAAAAACTACCCCGCTCTTTTAGCCTTTCATTACAGCCAAACAGATGGAGCACATTTTACACCCTTGTGCGTTGGTGCACTGTGACACATATATTTTTTTTATTATTATTATAATGAAACACACATATATACCAAAATGTTACAGAGATCAGTGAATTTTTTTCATTAATTAAACATACATAATAACATTTATCAACAGGTAACTTATTACTATGAAAATAAATGATTCTTTACAGAATTGCCTATTCCACTTTTCCATTTTATGTTTTAGTAACAAGTAGGTTGTATTTCCTTGTGTGACTGGTCGGACCTCCTTAATATACCGGATGTATTGTGTGAAAAATAAATCAAAAATAAACGGAAATTAAGTACGTCTGATGTCTTTTTTTGTTTCTTACTGTTATTGCTAGATCGCTTGATATTTACGAATTATTACTTTATGTTACCTTAATACTATATTCACTTAAAGGAAAGATAAAATAAAAATAGTAGATCCGTAAAATATTAATAAATAAACGTTTTAAGAGTACAAAATATCAATCAAGTACAAAAATAATATGTCTTTGACAACATAAAAAGTTGGTACAAGTTCTAAAATTTTTGGGACCATTAAAACTTCTTAGTACGAAGTATAAAATGATATCAAAAGGTTATAATTTATATCTAAACTTAGCACCCCGTTAAGGTAATAACAAGTAAAATGCAGGAATGTATTCTCAGGGTGCTAATTTTAGTATTTTTTTATGATTTTTAAGTAACTATAGGCAATTAAGTGGCTGCAGATTAAATAATAAATTCGCGATTGTACTTAATATTGACTGATTCAATTAGTAAGTTAGATACAAGTTAATATTATTGTGTATATACATTTTGTTTTAGTTCCTTCGTCTTTTTTTTCTTTAAGAATAAGTAACACCAAAATTAGAATTTCCTATTCCATTTGATTGTTTAAGGAGATACCGCCGTAAATAATTTTCAAAATCAAGACTTTTCAACATGTGATAATCAGAATTCATTTTCTTCATTTCCAAAACCTAATAATCAAGGGTTTAGTTATGATGCAGAACATTCGTCGTCTAACTCGAATTTCGTTCGCTTTGAACAGAGCAACTGGGGTCAACAAAATATCAACTATGAGCAAAAGCCTAGCTATTTTACGAACTTTCAGACTCCAGCTCAAACTGGTGGTAATAGTGCTAACAGTTGGATTAAGAAAGAGGACGATATTAAACCGAAAATAATTAACAGCCCTATTAAATCTGAAAACAGTAACAGCAGTATTGAGCATAAGCCAAAAATTAATATAATTAGTGATATTAAAATTGGAAATGTATTTAGTGGTACTTCTTGTATACCTGAATCTAAAAAGATTAATATTTTGAGTGATGTCAAATTGGAAATAAAGAAAGAAGAAACTTTAGAGGAAAAATACCAACCCCCTTTACAATTTGGGCAAAATAATTATCAACAGATTGGTGAAGTCAAAACGGAAAAATTTCAGCAAATTGGTTCCTTAGATGTTAAGAAAGAAGAAATTAAAGATGAAATTGTAGAAGAAGATGAAATTAAAGTAAATAATGACAGTCCTCCTATTTCTAAATTAAGAGATGTTAAGGATGATGGGATTCCTTATGATTGGGTAAGTGCATTTTAATTAAAGTTAATCAGATTGATTTATTACTTTGTTAACTGGTGTTTAGGCTGTTGAATTACTGAAAGACTATGTTCCCGGAATCAT